CAGGAGTATTGCTCTCGGCATTTTTTTTTTTTTTTTACGGGGAAAATCAGAAAATGCACAATGACTTCAGCGATCACCTTGGAGCCCTCGACAGAGCACCGGACATCATCTGGACTTTAGCTAGGCAACGTAATCTTATCAAAACCCAGGACTGAGAGCTGCATGTCCCCTTCCAAAAGGAGTCCAAAGCCCACTTCAAATCCTCAGAAGCCACGAGCCACAGTCACCTGCAGCCGGTGCTGCTCTTGGGGATCCGCTGGCACCAGAAGCACACTCTGCAGCAAGGAGAGAAAGCATGTCCCATGCAACAGACGCCGCAGTTGATAGATCTTGCTCTGTTCTCTTGGACATCAAAGGGGTTAAGTGCTGGAAGTTACCTGGTTTATCATTTGCTTTGAACATCTGTGAGCACTGCGGAGTCAGGAGACCACTGTGAGGAGCCTTACAAGTCTCTCAGACCCCTGCTAGAGCTCTGGAGGCCGTACAGTGCTCACACCAACAACGGAGAAGGTTAAAAAGAGTGAAATTTTCCATCAGATTTTCTTGGCCGTTGACCTCCAACTCAGAGGACTTTGGTTGCTTCAGTCTTCTCGGCTAGCAATGAGGGGAAAGTACTAGAAACTTTGCTTAGCACGATCCTGCTGTAACACTGTGCAGCAAATATTCCTCCAACTTCTTTTTCCCTTGCTCCGGAGGCACGGGGCTGAGCAGTCCACCTGAAATTCCTGTGCTCAGGAATGCACGACAGGGCCCTAGCGCACAGGTCGCAGATGCCATCTCATCGCTACATTTCGTTCTGAGCCAAAGGCGACTTCTGAAGACACGGTGGAAGAATTCTCGTTGACAAGTCAAAATGATCAGCGTGGAGGTTTTAACGCACAAAATTCAAGCAGGGGAATGCATTGCTAGAGGACTTCTGACCAGTGAAAGGGTTGCCCTTGGTGGGCACTGGGCATGCTTCGATCTAGACACCAAGAATAGTCTGTAAATACATCAAGACTGATGCAGATAAGTAGGGAATAACCTGATAGTCTGCACTAGATATTAGAGAAGGGGAAAAAAAAACCCAGACAACTGCTAAACATAATGTTAGTGAAGCTCTGGAGCAAAGTCTCTGTCACTGAAGGTCTTTTAGAGCCAGCTAAGACTGACGCTGGCTCAGGCAAGGGGCTAGGGTAAGCAATCACTTAAACTCCTTTCAGCCTGGTACGTGAACAAGATTTTGCAGGCTCCATTTTACGTAAAGAAGCTTTGGTCCACTGATGGTGGAGTCACCAATAGGCAAATCCGAGACAGCACTAGGACACGCCGCCGATCAGTTGGCACTGGAGGTATTTCTTGACAGTAAACTTGGTTCGCAGTCAACCACAGGATATACCTCATTCTCTCAGCCACGTATAATTTCTTTTAGCAACATGGCAAAACAAGAGGGAGTCTGTTATGCTACCAGTTTTAAAAAAAGACAGTGATACAAACAGGATATTGAGCACCTCTGTCCAGCTGTTTGCAGTCACATGTGACTTCTGGCAGGCCGGTAGGTAGCGTTGTCTACAATAAAGGTAACACAACCACCGGTCCTTAAATAACTGCGGAGCAACCGCGTCCAACTGAATCGTGGGAGCAAAGACCATTCCTACCCTCACCAAGACAGATAACTGCAGTGCTGGAGACTACCTGGCGTGTTACTGCTAACACAAAAGAGCACTGTTCAGCACGCACGTTAAAAGCTCCCACAACAGATTTTTATTAAATCCACATTGCTTTTCATGGGAACCTGGCTTGCCAAGATTTCCAGAAATTATCATCTCAACCACCTTCCCCTTTTGGGAGACTGACTCGAGAGGCCTTCAAGAGGGGGGAAAGACAGGCAGTGGGCACAAGCCTGTATTTTCAGAAAAACAAAACAGATCTCTGTAGAGCAAGGTCAAATCGCACCAGCGAAAATGAGAGCTCTAAGTCACGTTATCCTGAAAAATCCTCTGACTCTAGAGAAGAAACATCCATAAACTAAATGTGTCCTTTAAGATATGATGTGTTGACATGACACCGTGGATGGGATTTCACCCAAAGTCAACTGCAGAAATCAAGCATTTGAGGAATCCTACCGCACTCAGCAGTGACGAAGGAAGGAGAAGACATCTCTTCACACAGGCGCCTACTTTAAGACAAACTGTTTTCTGAAAGCATGTCTCTCGGCCCCTCAATTGCTGCTAGAGTGTCAGTGACTAACTCAAATTAGATGTTTCTTAGGACGAGATGATAATTGGAAGGATTTTCACCATCAGAAATGGCTTACTGACAAATCACAAAAAGCCCATGCAGTGATTTAAGCTCCAAGAACTTTCTAGGCACACACAAGTCGCAGCTCTTTCCTATACATCCTCTGTGCCATCCACTCCAAAACACAAAAACTGTTCCAACCAAATGATCACTTGAAAAAAGCTGCAGTCCTTATTCTGCTTGCTGACCACAAGCATACCTCTAGATCATCCATTGTCTGTCCATTCAACAGCCTCTCTGGTCAAAACCACACCAAAGAGAAATGTAAAAGTTTTGACAGCAAAGTCGAGTCATGCCAGCTCACAGATGGAGCACTAAACCGAGCGTTACAACCGAGCAGGTTACATCACGGCCTTGACTTTTCCCCAGAACAGAGGATAAGCACAGGAGACAAAAGGAGATGCAACATTTCCATCAACAACTGCATGGGATGTAGGAAGGACAGCCCTGGAGCCACTGTTTCCTTCCCTGCATCCACCCCACCTTCAGGATCACACCTCAGTCTCTCAGACTGTCCCTGGGCATCACCTACCTGCTTAATGTTGTCAGTGACTTGCTCTTTCCTTAGCCTTGGCTTCTCTTGTTGTTTCAATGAGCTTTCCTTCTCTGCCTGTTCAGAGCAACGAGAGCTGCTGGCTCAGTGACCCATAAAGCCTGGGGGACCTGGGGCCTCCAGCCCTACACCATCTGAAAGGCACGGGCCAGGATGCAACACCATGCTCATATGGCTCATTCTTCCTCCCACCCATTCAGCTTCAGATAAAACACTGCTGAATGGTCGGTAGTTTGCATCAAGGTGTTGTTTTAAAACCCAAGTTTGGATGCTTGGTTTTTTATTTATCCCCAAGTCTCGGTCAGAGACCAACCTTCCTTCACGCGCTGCGAGAGGACAGCTTGTGGCACTCTACATCCTCTACAAGGAGGGAGAAGGGTCACAACTTGGCCAAGATCTGAGACACCTTTGGCCTAATCTCCCTTATTTCTTGGTCTTTCACCTTTGCCTCTATGGCACAGGAAGGCAATCCATCCTCACAAAGGGACAACTCAGTTACTCGTGGCTCCGCTCAGCAGACCACGGCACGGCGGGTGTGTCTGCACCTTCCACCTTCTTCGATATATAATCCAAGAGACCACACAAGCCCAGACTTCATCCCAGAGAGATGACCTAGAGGACATCACTCTCCTTTGCCAAATGACTAACAAGATCCCTGAAGATGATTCCAAAGCTTCTGGGGTTTTTGAGGTTTTAGGGTTTGTTTTGGGAGTTGAGTTCTTTTTAAGTTGCAGTCTTTGAGATAAAAACACTGGGGCTGGGATACCTGATTTACAGGAGACTGTTGCTGGAGGGGAACAGCCCAACCTATCAAACGACATACAGGCTCGGCTATGCTCGTGGAATTATCTCCTCTGAAGTCCCAGAATTTCTGTGGAAAGGGGAAGACCCCAGTGAGCCAGCCTGATAGCCAGACTCCTCCCTGGCACAGCGAAGACCCACAGTCTTCAAGTAGTGGTGACAAATGTCTCCTTCACCAATGGCACTTCACAAATGCCACGCACCTCTGCCCTTGCACCCTTTCCTGACATACCAGAAGTCTTCCATCTGCAACAATCTGCAGCGAGGATAGTATCATAAGGAAAAATTCATCACTATTTTTAACATTGGAAATGAGTAATCTGAAATCCCGGGTTTTCCGTTTCATCCTCATTTGGATGGAGCTGACGACTCCCATGAAAAGGGTGTTTGGGAAAGAAGGCGAAGCAGCAGCCTGGTATCCCGATGGTGGATTAGCTTCAAACCTTCAACCCTTGTGTCTTACACAAGGTTACCTGTCCCTCCCTCTCCCCTTCATGGGGTGTTGAGGGTGAATTTAGAGCTCAAGCAGACCTGGACATTGGCTGAGGCAGAATAAAGCTGTGTCTGTTCAAGCTCTGTTCTTACCTAGAAGCTCAGACACTAGTGCTGGGTCCCCAGGGTAAGTCACTCTAAACCCAAGCTAATTTGGTGTGTAGGAGAGGTGACAAACAGGCAAGGAGCGTATGTGTCTACCTGTGAAAAGAAAGCTTTTTTACCCGACTCCACAGATGAAAGCTTAGTGAATAACCCTTCTAAGCTTCCTTGATCGGCTGGCTTTGCTGTGGAGTGAAGGGCAGAGCTGATAAGATTAGCAGTCTATCATGGTCAAACATGTATATAGGAAGCATAGTTAAAAATAGAGAAAGCACACAGTACACTAATGTCTGCTCCAGGTGGGATTCGCTTTTCTTACGATCTGTTTTCTGTTAAGAAAGATGGAGGAGACAAGGTGCTATCAGTGCCAAGTATCTCAGAAAGCAGAGATAGGAGACACCTAAGAATAAATGAGAGTCTGCTCCTCTTAAGAGAAATCAGATATTAACCCCGTGATTGGACAGGTGGGCAGTATAGCACCTTAAAGTTTCTGGACAATCACCTAGTATGGATCCCTGCTGTATTTTCAGTGAAATACTTGACTTGCCTGCTATGCTATTAACATCCACAGGGGCTCTTCCAGAGGAAGAATTGCCCATCGAGACCGATTCTTACGCTACCTTAAAAACAGCCTTTAGGGGCCTGTATTTTCTATATGGTTTTATTAAAGGTTACTGTGAGAATCGAGGCAGGACACCATAAAAAGTTGATAAAACGTTATATTACTTGAATGACGAAAGTTTTAGGAAGTCATTGGAATTGAATTTTTTTTGTTTTTTTTTAAAAACACTGAAATATCACATATTCTAATGAAGCAGATAATTATTTGGCTGAGTTTCTGCAGGAACAATACTCTGGGCACCCCTGAAAATCATAAATAGCATGCAAGAGGAACACAGTTGCATATCAAAGATGGGAGTGTCCACACTCCAAAAGCTGGTGGACTTCAGCCAGCAGAAGCGTCAGTGGTCACATACACACAAGCTCTTGCATCTACCCTCCTGTGCTGTGTGACACACAGGACAGCCTGCTGCTTTACTTAGGTTTCTGCTACGACAGCCTACAGTTTCTTAAAGCTGACGAGTGCTGAAAGCGTTTTTGAGGGATTTTCTCTCCTTTGCCTTGCTGCTTTAACTCTGCATCATGTCCGCGACCTTTAAAAAGCCAAATTTTACAAATCCAAAAATCACAACATCCCCACAACCCCATCCATCACCGCAGTACCGTTGCTTGAGTGTTATTAAAATACAGACTCTGAGCCCAGCTCTGTCCTGCCCCTCACTAATTCTTTACTTAAGTAACAATTACGAGAGGTCGGCTTGCGTAAGGCTAACAGGATTGGGCTGTAAGATATGAGCACAGCCGAGAGGCATGTGCATCTCTACCCCGAAGCCGAGACAGCCATTACAAGATGCTTGGATGTAAATATATATCTGATGTCTGATATTTTCCCCTTGAAAGTGTGAAAGGAGGGGGGAAAAAAAAAAAAAAAAAAAAAAGAGACAGGTAAGATATAGCCCCTTTAACCCCAAGAAACACCACGTAGTCGGGAACCTAAAGGAACAAGTGGCAATACTGATGACAGCCAAATCCCATTATTTCAAACTACCATCACAAAAATCCACTCACCTGATGAACACTCTGCTAGGCTCCACTTGCAACCTGAATAGTCTGCTGCTAGGAAGCCTGACAATAAAATGCAAGTGTAAAAGGCTGAACAAAGGCCAAATACTACAACTGGGGAGGGTGGGGGGTGGG